ATATGACAGACGATTCAGACCAAGAGTGACAGAAAGCACACACAAAGGAGGTTCAGACGTGAACGCACAGAGCAAGCCTCAAGCCGTCGGCCCCACTTTCTGTATGACGCAGGCACCCTCCCCTGGGGGGACCTGGAGCCCACTTCCACCCTGCAGTCCCCCCACCCCCTCGGCAGACCGCAGAGAGCCAAGGTGGCGATTCACAGTTACTTCCTTTATCTTCTTCCCTCTTCAGACATCACGCTCCTTGAATGCAGGTGACAGTGACAATGTTTCCCATCAGTTTCCTTATTATCTGGGGCATTGGGTTGGTGAGGCTAGAGGGCCTCTCACTTTTATCCACTTCTCATTTAGCCTTGGCTTGTTCCTACTCTTTGCTGGTGGCCTGTGACCCCCTTCCTGGCCATATGCTGTGGCTTCCGTTCCTACTCGTCCACCAGTAATGGAAGAATCCAGGCCCCAAATGCTCATCGCCACCTACCTCCAACCCCACCCCGGTGCGCGTGGCTCCTCCTAGAAACAACAGCCTCCCCTCTGTGAGGGCCATCTGGCCCTTTACAAAAAGCACTTTTAACTCCTTCAATGACCTTTGGTTTCATCATTTATCATTTCGCTCCGAATATTAAAAAAAAAAACAACAACCACAAAACCAAAAAAAAAAAACCAAGGGAATTCCCACCCAGACCTCAGACCCTCTCTGGTTCCACACCTTCCTCAGAAAGCCCCCAGGAAACTCCACAGGGAGTCTCCTCCCCTCTTCTGTAAGGAACAGGGCGACTAAGGAGAGAAGTGAGTCCCGCTTATTTTGGAGAAGTGATTCTCCCTTGTGGAATTTCACAACAGCCCAAGTTCTGGAAGAGAGTCAGGATATCATTGTATACAATACGTATAAGTGTGCACATGCACACACACACGCGCACACACGCACTGGTTCAGACTGCAGCTCCCTGGTGATACACCCACTGTGGCTGCGTGGCATATTTTCCCGAGAGCCGACCAGAGGTCCCCGGCACCGTGTGGGTGGGAATGACTGTGCCCTCCTCCTGCCGGCCCCCACTAGCGGCCAGCCTCCCTGGGTAATTGCTTTGTAAGCTCATTAGCTCTCAGGAGTTTCTCAGTGCCCTTTACCCAGCCTGCACCCAGCAACCCTGGAACAGAACTGGGGGCCACGAGGTGGGAACTGCAGAGCCTCTG